ATGAAGTGGATACAGCATTCATCATTTTCCAAACTTACCAGTATTTCACCACAGAAAACCCTGACATACTTTTTGCCTGGGATGAGTATCCATAGAACAGACTTAGAGCCAAATTTTATTTCCATTCAGGGCGAATGCATTCAAGTTTCCCAGCCTCACCTGCTACTGTACCGATAACAACTCCTAACACAAATGAGACAAACTATGTATTGAGTCCTAGAGAAAAGCCCACACTTGAAGGAGCTATGATCCCAAGAAATGGATTTTTAAATGTCCCACCCAGAAAGCTAAAACCAACTCACTTTCTATGAGAATCCTTCTGCTTTCTATTTCAAACTAAAAACAATAGCTGTTGGGGCCGGCCGAGTGGCTCAGTTGGTTAAGAGCTCTCTGAAGAGTGTGAGCTCTGAGCAACAGCAGTTCGAGTCCAGTCCGAGCTGAGCTGTCGCTGAGCTGCCAACATGGGGCAAGATGGCTCAGCTAAAAAAATTTAAAAAAATAGCTGTTGACTCAACTGTCACCATTTACTCTGCTTACTCCTTAAGGCCCATTGAATATGGGTAACAACTGTCGATCTGAGAAAAGCAATGAAAAAAGAAAAAAATTATATTCAGGTTTTTTTCTAATCTGAACATAGTATTTCTGATCCAAGAAAATGAAATATTAGAAGTGTATATAAATACTGAAGCACAAAATTAAAACAATGTCCTGAAGACTATGACTAATCTAATGCTAATGTGGAATTACAGATATCTTAAATAGTCATTCCCAATTAGAAACTAATGTGTTTAGGTTGCACTTAAAGCCATAGACTGAGAAATATTTGAAGGGGTAAGCAGTAGAAGACATATACTCCCAAACAGAAGAGATATCTCATCCTTATTTCCCTCTCAGTGTTCTAGACTTGTCTGAAAAAATGTAAAGAAACAGGTAAAGAAATTCTCTCCACATTCCTAGTAGCCAGGCTTTTATTTCTAAGGTTTGGGTTGAAACAAAAAGTCCCTATCTCCAGGAAAAAGAGAGAGAGAGAGAGAGAGAGAGAGAGAGAGAGGGAGAGAGAATGAGAATTCAAAATGACTATTATTTTTAATGATCTAAGAACATCAAGGGCGCCCCAAAGGTTCAAGGGAAGATTTTAGAAACTCTTGTGCAAGAGGGAAGTGACCCAACAGAGGAGAAGAGAGAGAACTGGGGCAGGGATTATATTCCCTTGCTCTGGAAAAAGACAAGGAGTGTTGTGGTTCGGGAATGGCATGCTACCAAGCTGTGCCTGAGTGGTGTCAAGATTTCAAATGGTGGGTGATGCCCACAGACACGAGACTCAGCACCAGGGCATGGAAGAAACAGCAAAGTTCCCTGTAGCTAAGCCTGTAGCGGGCAGAGAAAAGGGATAGGAAGTCATCTCAGTGGCCTGCTCAAGCAGCACTGCCTATGACACTGGGGAGCTCTGCACAGCAGAGGACAATGGGTGGGGACCAGTACCAGCTAATAATGAGAGGTTTCTCCATCCCATTTCCTGTGCCTGTAAGCTTCAAGCTCACATACACCCCATGGTTCCGGCAGAATAAAAACGGATACCTGACTTCTTATTAATTTCATTCAGAGAAGACTTGCAACCAGATTTTATATAAGGTAAAGATATAATATAGCTCACCCATCAATTTTCTCAAAAAATTTACAACTGCTACATGAACATTCCTATAATCCCTTTTCTAAGGAAAGTTATATTTTGAAGAACCTATAGCAATATCAACTGAGGCCAAATTCTAGGTTTGACCTCACTGAGAAATATTAGGATCTAGGGAAAATGTGTCCCACATAAACATTGCCCTAAATAATTTTTACTTACTTGAAGTTGCCACATTCTCCTTTCATTTTCTTCTATATCGCACAACTGCTGGGCATATAATCAGGGCATAACTGCTGAGTCTAGAGTCTGGGGGCGTCACCCACCACCTGAGGTCTTGGCATCACTCAGGCATGTCTTGCAAGTACCATGCCATTCCTGAACGAAAACACTGTTATCCTCTTTTATCCTTGAAGCACAAGAGTTTCTAATATCTCCCCTTGAAGACGTCCACCAACAGAGCTTTATGTCCTCCACATGGGACCCTAAAAGCTCCTCTAGGCTGTCACCTTCAAGTGGTGATCTAACTCAATGGGTGAAACACAGGCTCTGGAACCAGAAATGTCTGTATTTAAATCCAAGATCTGTCACATTCCGACTATATGACGTGTTCACCAGTTCATTCTGAGTTTTCTCATCAGTAAAATGGAAACATTAATAGCACCTACCTGGGATGATTGTTATGAGGCTATGATAGAATAATGATAAAAGCTCAAGGCACAATGTTTAGCACATAATCAGTACATGAGAAATGGTAGCTATTCTCAGCAATAGAAATCTAAGTCACTGATAAAATGATCAGTTATTACCATAACTGCCTTCAAGCAGTATTTTAATGACGAGTAATGTGGTAAGCACCATGTTTAATGTTATGAATTAACTGAGCTTCTAAGTTATGTAGATCTATTAAGTTTATTGTGAGTTTTAAAATAACTTGCCTTTACCATACAAAGTCACATATCAGAGGCCACAACTTCCAGAGAAGATATAAGTATAAATGCAGAAATACTTGCAAATTTAGATTTCAGACAAAATGCCAAGATAAAAACAATGCCCCAGCCATCATATAACTATTGTCACTTTAGGGGAAGTATTTTTAAAGTAAGCAGTGTCATTTTTAAAGTAAGTAATAACTAATAGTGACTTATTAGTCATAGTTTTTAGAAAAATTCTTGGAATGTCATATTTATAACACTATCTGTGGAAGATTGTAATAAATAATGAGCAAAGAACATCCCTAGCAACATTCAAATAGAAATAATTCCTATTTATGCATCAATTCTATAAGAGATTTTTGAATGTTTGGCCAATAGGCATAATCAGTGGTGTGCTGCTAAATGTTTAACAACCAGCTCCCAAAGGAATGGAGGGCCCTGATTTATAATTTGCCAGTTTCCATGGTATAAAATACTCCACCATGGCTCATTTCAAACTAACAGCTCTCGGTCCAACCGAGTGGCTCAGTTGGTTAAGAGCTCCCTCAAGAGTTTGAGCTCTGAGCAACAGTGGTTCAAGTCCCAGCCCAAGTTGAGCAGCTGCTGAGCTGCCAACAGGTGGCATGATGGCTCAGCTTAAAAAAAAAAAAAAACTTCAAACTAACAGCTCTCAAAAGCCATTGCTAGCTAGTCAGCACCAGTATATCACCTAGATAAGGAGCAGTATTCATAATGGCTATATAGTTCACCTCGATAGGATTATATAAGGAAACCAAGGAATTAGCTCACAACTGGAAAATAGAGATGAATAACATACAGGTTTCTCAGGAAGGTGATTGAAGCATACAGCGAGCTGATACCTTAAGTATTATCATGCAGAATCCTTCCTCACAAAGCTGAGCCTCTCTCTGCACATGTGGTTGCACACACCCCAGCCTTGTATCATCTTCTTCTGTACCGACCCCACTATCCTCTGAAGACTCTTCCCAGACCCAACTCTTCACCTGGTTAGGGGATCTCAGGTTCGCCCTGTACTCATTTAATATCACTCACCGAGAAATAATGGTTCTCTTCCCTAATTTTCCTCATAAGACTATTGTTGCCTTCCCATCTCTCTTTTAACAGTAAACCCAGCACCTATGCTGAACTCCTCCAGCCAGTAACACAGACACATTTTCTCTGTGAACAGGAAAGAATTAACTATCATTTAATAATTTGCTTATCTGCTCTTTCATTTGGGAACAAAAGAGCTACACTTTCAGAAATACCATTTGGAAGACCGTAGGAAAACCAAAATAACCCCTTTGTCTTACTAGCTTTGAATTACAGTCTACTCCTAGACTACTTTACTGCAGGAACACATAACTTGCCAAATTAAAGTATTTAAAATATAGAGTTTATAGGTGAAAATAAATATAATGACGTATTTCTCTGTTAATTCATAATGCTGCACTTCAAGCCTGCTTAACTGCTAAAAGACAAGCTGTTGAATACGATGCTCATTAATTCTACAATCTCTCTATAGTTTACACTAAAAAGGCAAATTTCCTTATTTCTACGGCTAAAAAAACCAATCCATTGCTAGATGAAAGAGATCTGTGCATGGATGTTGGTGAATATACTTAATGCCACTGAACTGTGCACTTAAGAAATGGTTAAGATGGTAAATTTTACTAAATTTTTTTAAACTTTTAGAAATTTAAATGAAAAAAAAAGACGCCTATTAAAGAGAAATTCTGCCCTCCAGAATTTCAAGTAAAGAATTGCTTCTTCATATTCTTCTCCATATTCTTGCCAACAAATAAGTCAAACAGAGAAAGACAAATATAATATGCTTTCAATTATATGTGGAATCTAAAAAAAAAAATGAATAAACAGAACAAAACAGAAACAGACTCATAGATACAGAGAACAAACTGACGGTTGCCAGAGGGAGCAGGGTGGAGGGATGGGTGAAAAAGGTGAAGGAGAATAACAGGCACAAACTTCCAGTTATAAAATGAATAAGCCACAGGGATGTAATATACAGCACAAGGAATATAGTCAGTAATATGGTAATCACTTTATATGGTGACAGATGTTTACCAGACATATCGTGATGATCATATCATAAGGTATATAAGTGAAGAATAACTATTTGGTACACCGAAAACTAATATAGTATTGCATGTCAACTATACTTTAATAACAAATACAAAAAAATAAACAGTGCACCTGATTTTTTTAATAAATAAAAATAACACCCTTTAATACTGCCTGAGTCTCATTACAGACATAGGGGCACCAAGCATTAAAAAAGTGCTTTTGCTCTACCAGACATCAAAGCAACACATGCACTTCTGCAAAGTTCTCACATTCATTATCATTAACTTCATGGATTAGTACGAAGCAGCTATGGTTTAATCAGGAAAACAAACGGTTGAAAAGTCAAAACCTACTGCATTCTTTGCCTCTCACTGGGTCAGGCAGGCCAGAGCAGTCCACTGCAGAATTCGGAATGGCAACTCTCCACCTGGAGCCACTGCTATCACATTCTGTATATTCAAAGTGGTAATCTTTCTGCAAACAATTACAAAAAGAAGCCTTTGTTAGAGCCAACTTTAAAGGGACAACTGGGCTTTCCCAGTCACACCCAAACCTGCCTGCAAGCATGGTTGGTTTCTTGACTCTCTGGTTGACTCTCCTTCTTCGCCCACTCGATCCATACAAAGCAGTTTTCTTACCAAAAATGCATCGTGCCAGGCAGTGAGTGGGCACTGAGGGAATGATGAGGGACAGGGCAGTTAATGCGCTCAAGCCGTGTCCACTGACCTTTGGTTTCACCCACCCCAAAAGGCTACAGCATATTGTCCCACTTCATTTGAAGACTTCTAGAGCTCTAAATAATTGATAAGGTATGAGGATAAGAGCAAAATAACACTAGGAAATTAAATGCTGCCACTGTCCCAAGTTTTTCAAAGAAAGAAATAAGAGAACCATCCCCACTGACGTAATTCTCACTCTGTTTAAAATTTAACAGCAAGTGTAACAGTCATCCCAATACTAGTAAAAGACTACCTGTTTTTGGAGCAGTTCTCCCAGGCTCAATACACACCCACCACAGCAGGCTGCGATCCATCACAGACTGTAAAATAGACATTTATTATAATTGCCCAACTAAGACCAACCAACTTGTCTCTGGCCTTTGATTGCTTTGATATTTTCAGTGTCTTCCACTGGTCAGAACACATAACACACATGAGATGCTTGAACTGAGAGGAACAAGGACAAAATGCCATTGGAACCTTGGAAGAATGAGAGAAGTTCTAAGTCTTCCCCAAAAGACTATCATTCAATATCCTATTTATTCAGTTCAATATTCTATTTATTCAGTTCAATGTCTTGGATGTTGCTTTTCTGCTTCATCCACTCTATTTTTGCCTCCCTTACTGTATCAATGACAGAAGACAGCAAAAATACCATTGGGAAATCAGGTGTGGGAGGTGGGAAGGTATCTGTGTATGTTGTGTGTCCACAAGGAAAGAACACCAGTTAAGAAAAGGGTTCTGAATTCAGAAAGGTTTGGGTTTGATTTCACATCTCATTCCTCCGCGTATCATCTATGTGATATTGGGCAAGCCACTTTACTTCTCAGAGCGTTCATCGTTTTCATTAGTAAAATCTGAATAATAGTATGTCCTAGCTTGTATGGTTGTTGTGGAAATTAATTGAGATAATGCATGTAAAACGTTAGGCATGTTAGGCTGCACTGAGTTAGCATTTGATTAATGGCAGATTATCCTATTTAGGACAGTGGTAATAAAGAGGATGATACAGAGAAAGGAGCTAGTGGTGATATAATAAAGCACAAACCACCTGAGGTTCAGTTTCCTCTGCTTCAGTTTCTGCATATGCATAAGATAAAATGAGAAAGGATTGTAAATTAGAGAATGTGGGAGCATCAGGTGAAAACAAAGGCCTTTATGCTGCACTGAGACTCTCCCCCAGAAATAAAACTTAGTATATCTGTTAGGCGATCATCTCTGAATATTATTTCTCCACTCAAATTTTTGACAAAGTTTGGCAACAAATAATTTGAGATGATGTTATTTGACAAGAGCCTGGATCTCAAGCATGCTTTACTGCCAATTAAGGGCAAATCTATATTCCTAAAACAACCACTAAAAGCAGCAAAATGGGAAAGGCTTTCCAGAGGGAAAGATGAAAAGAGGGAGTGAAGAAGAGAGGAAGGGAAGGTAGGGATGAAGGGAAGAAGAAAGGGAGGGAAAATACAATGAAAGCTAACTAAATTTGCGTATAAATATTAAACACAAAAGTCATCAAAATTCCTCATAAACTAAAGTAACAGCAAGACAACAAACTGATTAAGAAACAAGACAGACAAAGGTTAATTAACTTAAGAATACTGGGATTCCAAAAATCAGTAAGGAAAAAGACAAATAATTGTTTGGAAATATAGTCAAAGAATACAAGCAATTCATTAAGGAATAATACGAATGGTCAGGGAATATATGAAAACTGTTAAACCTTGACAAAGAAATGTAAGTAGTAATTTTCATTTAAAATACTTTTTAAAAACTCTTTAACAGTGCAGTAAAATAAGCACTTGTGTGCTTCAAATGAAAGAGGAAAGTGAGTGGTTCAGGCTTTCTGGAGAGAAGTTTATCAATAGGTATCAAGATCTTTGAAGAGTGCAAAATTTTGAACCCAAGTCTCACTTCCTGAATCTAAGAGGAAAAAATGTTTAATGTGGCCAGCAATTTATGTGCAAAGTTACTCATCATAGCTTTGATATACTAGGGGAAGCGTAATTAATAGTTGAGCATTAAAGAATCTTATATTTATATTATTTAGCTGGTACTTTTCATTATGTGTTTATATCATTAAATACTTACAATTATGTGATTGGACAGTTAATATTATTCCCATTGTTCAATTAAAACTCAGATTAGGTAAATAATTTCCCCAGAGACACCCAGCTAGTAAGGAGCATACCTGAGAGCAAGTCAAGCTTTCTGTTTATTTACCAGCATTTTCAGTTTATATAATTTCATTCTGCTTAAAATAGATGGTTACTGTTTTAAAATAGAAAGAATGGTAAAAATTTCAAATACAAAAGTCTGATGGTTAAAGAAATCTAACAGTAATCATAGAGCTATCTCATATTCAAAGCGAATATAAGAGTACACAGATAAAGAAAACAACCTGGTTCCTAGAGAGGAAACTAATTTCTGTATTAGTTTCTATGGCCGCGTCAACAAATTACCACACACTCAGCCACTAAAGACAACAGAAATTTATCCTTCCACAGTTTTGGAGGCAACAAGTTCAAAATCAGTATCACAGGGCCAAAATGAAGGTGTCAGCCAGGCTGCACTCCCTCCAGAGGCTCTCGGAAGACTGCTCCTTCCCTCCTCCATCCTCTGATCGCTGTTGTATTCATTGGCTTAGAGATAAATCACTCCATTCTCTGCCTCTGTAATCACACTGCCTTCTCTCCTCTTATCTCCCTCTGCCTCATTCTTATAAGGATACTTGTAATTGCATTTAGGGCCCACGTAGATAATAAAGAATAATTTCCCCATCTCAAATTCCTTAACTTATTCACATCTTTAAAGTTCTTTTTTCCATAAAAGATAATCATTCATTAATTGCAGGGATGAGAACATGGATACCTTTTTTTTTGGGGGGGGGTGAGAGGGCTGGGGGAGGGAATTATTCAGCCTATCACAGTTCACCCTATGACCCCAAAGTTCCATGTCCTTTCCACATGCAAAATATAGTCACCATATCCCCAGATCTTCTAAAGTCTCAAAAATTTATAGCATCAACCCAAAGTCCAAAACCTTATCTACATCATATCAGCTCAAAAGTCTCAAATCTAATCATCTAAACTAAATCAGGTATGGGGGAGACTCTGGTTATGATCAATACAGGGGCAAAATTCCTCTCCATTTGTAAACCTGTTACCTGCTTCCAAAATACAATGGTTTTGGACATTAACATCAGTTACAGACATTCTCATTCAAAAAGAAATAAAGTGGAAGGAAAGAAGGGAGGGAGGAAGAGGTCAATAGTCCCAAGCAATTTCAAAATCCAGCGAAGCAAATTCCATTAAGTTTCAAGGCCTGGGAATAACCCTCTGCAGTCAATGGCTCCAACCTCTGGGCCAAGGCTCCAACCTCAGAGTCATTCTTATGTTTTTGTTTTCTTTAAACTAGAACATGTACGTAGTTGAGTAGTTTTATTAGGCTGTTTCTTGCCTATAAAATTCTGGGAATCCAAAAGTCTTCCTCCATTTTATCCTTCTCTGTCTCTTTTAGTTCAAGCTGGCAGTGTTTTGCAGATATAATATTATCAAAAACCTTGTAGGTCTCCTTTGTATGCTACAGGATTCATGCCATTAAATGTAGGCTCCTCCACAGATCTTTCCTTGATAATCCCATCTCTATTCCTGGCTTCCACTGAGATAGATAAGTAGTATATCTAAGCATAATACAGAAGTCATACATCCACTTTCTTTAGCACCAGCAAAAGGTTTTTTAATCACACTTTTGACCTTCTCTCCACAGAGAACTTTCCTAGGAGTGACTTTCTTAATTTTAGCATCTTTTGCGATCTGAATAGGCTGAGAATTTCCCAAATCATCAAGTTTCAATTCCTTTTTGTTTAACAACTGTTCCCTCCATTTATCTCTTTCCTCTCACATTTTACTATAAACAGCAAGAAGGAACCAGGCCACACCTTCAACATTATGCTAGTGAATTTCCTCTGTAAATATCCAGGTTTATCACTTACAAGTGTTGCCTTCCACACAACCACATGACCAAATTCTGCTAAGCTTTGTGCTACTATATAAAAGATTGTGATTCTTCCAATTTCCAATGACATAGTCCTCATTTTCTTCTCAAGAGCACCTTTAATATTTCTACCAACATTCTGTTTATGACAACTTACATATTCTCTAAGACAATACAGGCATTTTCTACTGGGCTCCTCAGTTCTCACTGGCAGAGTCTTTAACATCCATATTTCTTCCAACAGTCTGTTCTAGACAATCTAGACTTTTTCTATCATAGGCTTTAAAATTCTCCCAGCTTCTGTTCATTACCAAGTTCTAATGCCACTTGCAAATTTTTAGGTGTTTGTTACAGCAGCTCCCACCTTCAGGTAGCAAAATCTGTGTTAGTTCTCCTATGACTGCTGTAAAAAATTATCATAAATTTAGCAGCTTCAAACAACTGGAGGCCAGAAGTCCAAAGTCAGTATCACTGGGGCACGAGCCAGGTCGCGCTCCCTCTGGAGGCTCTGGAGGGGAGTCCAGTCCTTGTCTCTTCTGGCTTCTGGTGGCCACAAGCATTTGTTGGCGTGTGTGGCTACAGCACTCCAATCTCTGCCTCTGTGAATATACTGCCTTCTTTGTCTTCCTCTTGTGGATGCATTTAGGGTCCACCTAGATCAGGGGTTGGCAAACTTTTGGGACAAAAGAGCCGCCAGGGGTCAGCAAACTGCGGCTTGCGAGCGTGTGGCTCTTAAGTAAAATTGAAAATGAAAATAAA